CTCCATTTAATAAAATTACAGGAATTGTCATGTTACATTCAATAATAACAAATATATATTGATGAACATTTATTCGAGGTCATTGACTGCCGCCATCATTGTACCGACTGTGTCTCCTGTCCCTAGTAGGGACTATACATATAATCATGACATCCTTTTTCTTTAAACAAAGTTATACAAACAAAACTTACAGAGATACTTAAATACTATACTATTCTACAACATAATCAGACAAATATTGGGGTTTCTTAACTACCCTTCCAGTTCGCGTTTTACAAGAAACTTCTGGCTTAATTAATGAACTTAATTCCTGACGAGATTCCTGATTATTACTATTTTCTGTCTTTTCAGGATTTTGAACTTGTTCACTATTTTGCATTAAGGTTACAGGTTCATCTACGCGAAATTGTGTTGACGCTTTATACATATTATGCCGATTTCTATCTACTATATTACCTGAAGGTAACTGTACTTGGTAAGAACGAGGTCTATCTGCTGGACCTATTACTTTTACCGGTGTCATATTATGAACTTTATCTCGAATGTGTACTATTTCTCCCTTTTCGAAAGACAATGGTTTTACATTATTTTTTCTATCATGAAAATACTTATATTTTTCTTGAGAATGTTTTAGTTTATCTCTGATAGACTGTTCATTTGTTAAAAAAAAATCTTCAGTGGTAGGTAGAAAGGCATTAATTTTATGTCCAAAAACCAATTCACTGGGGGACTTATTGATTTCGCTACTTATCGGTGTATTTCTGTACTCAATTAAGGCTATATATGGATCTAGTCCCGAGTCAACTGATTTTTTAAGCATATTTTTTATTGTTTGCACATATCTTTCCACCATGCCATTAGATCTAGCATAATAAGGACTTGAGGTTTGGTGCTGTAAACCCCATTCTCTAATAAAATCTTTAAATTTAAAACTTCTGAAAAATTGTGGTCCACCATCACTATAAATGATCTTTGGTTTTCCAAACAAAGAAAAAATTGACTTTAGTGCAACAATAACATTCTCAGTAGTTTCAGCACGTAATTCCTTAAAATCAACATACTTTGAATAATAATCGATCACTAGAACAAAGGTCTTATTCTGAAAATAAAATAAATCTACCCCTACTATCTCCCAGGGTCTATTCGGTATGTCTCTTAATAATAACTTTTCATGGCCATGTTTTCTTTGAGATAGAACCAGTTACAGAACCACTGAGAAGAATACCATTGAGCTTGCAACCTAAAGTTAAGCTCGAGTTAGAGAGAATGGTAAAAAATGGAATAATTAGAAGTGTGACTGAACCGACGGAGTGGTGCAGCTCATTAGTAACCGTCAAGAAGCCCGATGGTTCACTGAGGTTATGTTTGGACCCTCAGAATTTGAACAATTGCAACTTTGAGCCAACTTTTTCAGATCGGTCACGAAACTGTCTATACTCTCCCCATCTTTCTGTCGTCTGGTGTGAAACATATGCCTATTTATTGTTTCATTTTCCTTCGGCTTAAAGTAGACTTCAAGTTTTTTAAGTACTTCTTTCCAACTCTTTCTCTCTTCATCCGACAATTCTAATGTAGTGTAAATTTCATACACTTCTGAGCCAATACTATGTAATAGTATTGCCACTTTCTGCTCACTGGACACACTTGCCTTTACATCCAAGCCCGAAGCCAACATAAACATTTCAAACTGTTGCTTCCACTTTCTAAAATTTACTCCTACGTCTCCTTCCAAGCTCATCGGACTTGGTGGCTTTAAACCTTCCATTGTACAGGTATGGAATAAGTACTCGAAAACAACTCTAACCTAACTTCAGTAAAAACACAAAAGTTTTCACACCGTATTTTGGTTTTGGACACTACAGTCCTCGGCACACAATCGCACTTAGCAATTTTTCGCGTTTATATAACTCACTCGCAGCGCCATGTCATGTTACATTCAATAATAACAAATATATATTGATGAACATTTATTCGAGGTCATTGACTGCCGCCATCATTGTACCGACTGTGTCTCCTGTCCCTAGTAGGGACTATACATATAATCATGACAGGAATTATTATAATGATTTTTTTTTGTTTTGTTTTCCTCTTTCCTGATAGCGTTGGCTATTGTGCCCATCAATAGGTATGTTGGTAAGTACGAATTACATTATCCCTAGATGTCCAATGTACGTGTGTGATTTTTTTTTTTTTTTTTTAAGGACCCTACATAACTTCACCAGACACAGACACAGACACTAATCGTTACTTGATTTTAATCCGTGCGATTAGTTAACCAGGCTATACCTGAGTTCTCACAAGAAACACCGACCATAATAATAATAATAATAATAATATATTTACCCAACAGCATAAGACCAATAACAGGGCAAAACCTTCATAAGCTATAACATGCTAACCATAATGCTTAAGAAAAATTAAGTATGTAGTAGGTAAGTTAAATCTAATTAATTTTAATACAAATGACAAAAACAAAAAATTTGAAAATATCAGAAACACTCTAATGAGGTACAAATACATTCTTAGCAGATTCTAAGATGTGACTTATAGAGTCATTGTGGATATCAACTAAATCACAGATAAGGTTGTATCTAGAGCACATTAAATGGACAGGAGCTCTTGCTAGTAAATTTGTACGAGATTGAGAGACATAAAATGCATCAAGCTGTCTACTATTAAGCCTAGGCACACGAAAATTAATCATGCTAAAAGTTGAGGACAATCAGTAATATTGTTTAGTAATTTATATAAGAAAGTAAGACAAGTTATAATTCTCCTAAATTCGCAAGATGTCATTTTAAAGGTATTCAATAATGTTCCATGATCAAATCCTTGACAGGGGTACGCACCAAAATGCTTTAACCATAAATATTTCAAAAATTTTCTTTGGATATTTTCAACTAAGCTTTTATAATATTTATAGTGGGGGTACCAAATAATTGCGGCGTATTTCAGTCGAGGACGAACTAAGGTAAAATACAAAAGCTTTATAACATCTATATTATGGAAGTCTCTTGTGCTTCTTATTACAAAGCCTAACATTTTGTACGCAGAAGCAACAGATTCTGTAACATGATCATTAAATGACAAATCTTTATCGAATAACACTCCCAGAGCGCGAGTACGTAATACGTATGCATTGGGATAAAGTAATACAATTCACGGTATACTTGTAATCAATTTTATGTACTTTTCTCGTTATCGACATAGATTTGCATTTGTCTATATTTAATGGTAATTTATTAATTAGACACCAATTGTAGATTGCAAACAAATTATTTTGAAGAGTAATACAATCAGAAATTGTATAAATTGATGAGTAGATTTTTACATCATCAGCAAATAGTAGTACATTCGAAGATATTACTTCACATAAATCATTAATAAATATGAGGAATAATAGAGGACCCAAGTTAGAACCTTGGGGAACTCCAGAGGTAGCTATATACGAGTTGGACTGATGGCCATTGTAAGTAACATACAAAGTTCTATTTGTTAAATATGACTTAATAAGGGCGACAAAGTGATCAGAAAAACCCACTCCAGCTAATTTGTGCAACAATATGCTATGATGCACTCTATCAAAAGCCTTACTAAAGTCTGTAAATATTGTATCAACTTGGCCTTGGTTGTCCAAAACTTCATGGCAATACTGTAAGATAATTCGATTTTTACGAAAAATTGGGCATTTGCCAGCGTCAGTATATTGTCAAAATCATTACTTAAATTTTGATTCCAGGTTTTATATCTTATCCTGGGTTAAGTAAAAGTCAAATAAATACATCTACTATGAAACATTAAAAATATAGCTTACAAGGTGATTTTTTGGTAGGTCCAGAGTTGCAAAACTTCATATTAAAAAATCTCATTTTTTTTAATGGAACACCCTGTATATTTTCTGTCATCTTTTAGCTCCTCCAAAAACCTTCAACTTTTGATAATAATGTCCTATACCTATCTCTGATAGTTTTCGAAAAAAAGCTTGGTTCGAATCGAAAAATCTGATCTTCAATGCATTAAGTTACTCCGCGCAATCGTTGACGCACCCTGTACTGTAATCAGGTGGATGATACCATCTCTAGGCCCAGCTGGAGGAACACGTGATACGTGCTACTACTGCAAACAGCAGCATCGCTTTGAGAACTGCCCAGAGTTTAGGGAACTATTAATCACCTTAACAAATAGGAGAGGAAATTATGTTACAACTACAAGGAAAAATGTTACTCGGCGCAAAATGTATAGAATGCGGTTATCCGCATCACACTTTACTTCACGACTCCACCAAAACGACAAGAGAGCAGGCACCACAAGGTAGCACAAGGACATCTAAACCCAAAAGGAAAACCGAGAAGTACTACTAGCCACAGCAATTGTCCAAACGAGACATTATGGGCATGTCGCAGCTATTAACAGTATTAGTGTACCTATCCTGTAAATCTCGCAAGTATTTAGCGAATACCCGTTTGGGATGTAAGGCTACAATTTTGGTAAAAGTGGCGATTCACCACCTTACACTCTACCCCAAATACACTGTCTCACACCGAGATTGGACATTAGGGAAGTAATGATCAATAGAACCAATAGAAAATACACTAAAGTTGGCACGTCGGCGTCTGCTGTTCACCACATAGTAATTAAAGGAGATTATATTGTTACAGAAGAATTTCCGCACCAGAACGTGGAATGTAATATCGCTGCAACAATGTTCCCAGAAAATATATTGAGTTCCATGTTCCGGTCCTTTGGTTCCTGTCTGAGACGCGTTAGATAGCGAGTCCTTAAGAAAGAAAGGAGGAGAGGGGAGATCTTTTCTCAGTGCCTTTGCCAAAGATAATCTTCAAACGACACCCGGACGACCGTCAAATAAGCCCACTCATGGCTTGTTTCATCATATCTTATAATCAAAGCATATTTATAACAGTCTATTAAAAAAAATGTCATTAATTTTTCTTATTACAAATAAAATAATTCAACAAAAATGAAAACAAACCACCAAAATTCTGAGATCAACCTGAAATAAATCAATTAACCGATCTCGGTTTTAGAGTCACCCACACGCCATCCGCTGGAAGACCGTTGAAACTCGTTTTGTCCGGTATCAACGGGATCGCGGTCTTGGCATTCGGCACAATTTCAAAATTTTGCAATAACCGTATCACTATTAGCTTTATTTCCAACAAAGCGAAACGAGAAGCTGCAATGAAGTGCGAATGTAACCTTAGACGAGACAATATTAAGCCTACCTATGCAAGATCTCGGACCTGAACCAAATGGTATGTAGGCACCCGATGGGATGTGCGGTCTGTTTTCCTCGCTAAATCGTTCGGGATCGAACTTTTTGGGATTAGGAAAGTGCTTTTCGTCGAGGTGTAAGGCGCACGTGGGCAGCCAAACAACCGTACCCTTTTCCAAGTGTATAGGCCTTTCCGAAGGGTCTACTGGTTCAATGGTGTACGGCTTCGTGGATCTTCGATCGACGAATGGTAGATTACTGTGCAATCGTAATGATTCTAAAATGGATGAATCAGAAATGGCTTTCAAAACACGATCACGTACCCGACACAACGCTTTCCAGGTAACTCATCGATTTTATAGTTTCGTATGTTACTTCTTCAGATGATCGACAAATTTCCTCATGTAGTCTCCGCTGAACATCTGGATTGACAGCCAACTCGTAAGCAAGGAACGTCATTGCGCTTGCCACCGTATCGAATCCGGCAAGGAAGAAAATAAGCGCTTGGGCTGTTATATCCTCATCTGTCATCTTATACTCTGTGTTTTTGGGATTCCTCTGTGCCTCAATGAGCAAATTAATCATATCAAGACGTTCAATTTGTTGCTGTCTCCTAAGTTTGAGCGTCTCCTTTATAATATTTCTGAAGTAAGCGTCCACTTTTGCCCCGAAGTACCCTATTTTGAGGAACTAAAAACGACTAAGCTTATATGTTTCGCTTTCATGCAGTGTTACGTACCTTCATTACGCTAGGACATAAGGTGTAACAGAAAAACTTGAACATTTTAACTCCCGTGAACCTAGACGCTGTGCCCATCAAGAAAAACTCGTTATCTCTATTTTTGAGCGAGTCACAGGTAATCCCAAACGCGCACGTGGCAATTACGTCGTTGGTGTATCTTGTAAATGCATCCAGTACCTCTAACTGCACGGCATCACCAGACTTATTTAGGTAGCTTATAAACTGATCCGAGCAATTTGCCATTAATGTGAAGAGCAACTTCATTTTGCGACTGGTAAATGACGGACTGAGTGCCGATCGCACTTCGTGCCAGTCCGGCCCGCTTAAGTTAAACAAACTTTTAGCAATCAATGGTTCCATCGGAAAAACTGGCACGTGCTCGGGAAAGGCATCAAAATCTTTTATAGTGATCTGTTTTACTAGCTCTGGGTCTCGTACTAGCAGTATGGGTTGCCTAAACTGGTACATCCCAACGTATCTAAAGTAGACAGAGTGATGGCGATGGAGTAATAATGGTCAATACTCACCGACTGTTTGGAAATGCATAGTAGCAGTCCCTTATTAGCGTTTCCAAGGATTTAAGCCGCAGGAGGTTTCCACCAAAATTTCCAAGAAAGTAAATCGGCTTAATGTAGGGCACGCCTTTGATTTTCCAATAACTATACACCCTAGTGGACTTAAACAATGCAAATAATGTGACAAATGCGATTGCTAATATTATCAAGTACATGACTAAGTTACTAGAAGCAGTATAAGCGAAATGAGTTTTCTAGTCTACTTATATAGGCTCAGTGACTTGGACCACTATATAAAGTGTGTGCATGTGATGTCGATGCAATTAATAAACTGCGATAACGTCTAAAGTACTATTCAACGACGGTCGAGTATTATCCACTGAGTAAGTTACATAGTCACCACTCATGTAGTCCGGACGACAAACGCGATATTTTTGAAGAATCGTGCACTTTTGCATAGAAGCATGGATGTTGGTATACAACTAACCTATACCCCAACAGTCATTTTAAACATTAGAGCCACTCTGGCTCTCTGCCAGGGGGGGCGTAGGGTGCCCATTTCAAAACGGCCGCTTTAGCAATGGTATCCATTCGGTAATACCTCTGCCAACTCGCAACCACTAGGGCTAGAACAAAATTAAAACACGGATTTGGTTGAGCACAAACTTAGCTTAAAAAAATGTTGTATTGATATTTACCCTAAATGTATTGAATGTGACTTTTTTTGGGGTGAAAGTTAACCTGTATTGTTTTTCCCACAAAAAGTCGAGAATTTAGTTTTTCTTCACTCAAAATACTGTTTTTATTCATCTTTTTAGATGTATAGTTAAATTTATTAACATACATAAATTAAATTGATGAAATTGTAATTTTATAATATTTGTTTTGTCCTATTCTTCGTATAGTAAAATCTTATATGTAGTTTGAAAAGAAAATTGTAACTTTAGAATAATTATTATTATAATTAATTAATTATACAATTAATTAAACACCATCGTGGCTACTCAAAAAACCCTCTATCCGAATGGATCTTGCGACTGAGTGCACGAAAAATGATGCATCGGCTGAAATTCAAAGTAAAGTGGATAAAGTGTTATCGGAGTTTCCTTTAGCGAAGGTTTTATACACGGATGGATCAAAAACAGAAAACGGTGTTGGTTGTAGTATGGTTGTGGATAAAGTACCGTTCACCTGGTGCCTGTCGCCTGCTGCTGGCTGGAGCAGTACGCTATCTGGCAGGCACTCAGGTACTGTGAAATGAACTGCGAAATAAAATCAGTTATTATAGTTAGCGACTCGCAGGCTTCCTTAATGAGTCTTTGTAATCGAGACACGCTAGATGTTCTGACCAAAATGTGCCAGGAAGTTGTTAAAATACTGGAAGACCGAAACGTGTCTGTGAACTTTCTATGGGTACCTGCGCATATTGGAATTAAGGGAAACGACGAGGCAGATAAAGCGGCAAAGATGGCATCAGCATCGAACGAAATTGATGTATCAGAGGTTAAGGCAGTCGAACAAAAAGGAATGATAGCACGATGTATGCAAGAACTATGGCAAAGACAATGGGATGACTGTAATACCTACCTTAGGCGATGTAAACAAAGCGTCACGTCTGTTTCTCCAGCATTAAAACTGCCTCGTCAGGAAAGTGTTTGTCTCCATAGACTAAGAATAGGACATACCGCTTTACCACATTCTTACCTTCTAAAAAGAGAAAATCCACCTGTGTGTGAATTTTGTGGTAATTTAACATCTGTGCAGCATATAATAGGTGAGTGTCCGGCACAAGTAATACAGCGACAAATGTGCGAACTTCAACAAAGAACGGAGAAGTGCCTGACGGATCCTGATGGAATGAGGAACACTGTGAAGTACCTGAAAGTCTCTGCGTAATTTAGTAAAATATAGATAAGATATAGAAGGTGGTACTTACCCGCTTACATCTTACATGGAAAAGCGATTCTAGCCTGAAAACGTTTAAGTAGAACAAGAACCAGTAAAAAGGGCTAATGACCTGAGAAGTTGATGCCCTCTAAACAAAAAACAAAAAAAATACTGTACTATAGAATCTATTATTCACGATCGCATCCACCACACTTGCAACGTGGAGTGCAAGGCAAGTTCGATTTCGTACACTTGCAGGAAGTACATACGCTGCGCTTACAGTGACATTTTCACCACTTCCTTGCAAGCTTCGCTCGCTGGAGGCAGGTCCATCCATTTTATTTGGAATAGCATCGAAAGCTTCAATTAATTTATATAATATGCAACCTTAATTATTTTGATGTAGTGCAATTTGTCCTCACTTACCGCCCACCTTAAGTTGCTGCGCTTCCACCCAAAATCGCCTGGATCAGGAAGAACAGGGTTTCTTTCGAGGGCTTTACCCCAGACATACCTCCTTGGTAGGCAGCACGGAGCAGATGGAGACGAGGAGCATCCTGTGTAGGGGGAATATTCTCAATTTGGCTACCCTTGTGAATAAATAAGACTCTTCTGCAATCGTTGACAGTTACCTCAGGACTCTGCTCCGTGCTGCCTACCAAGGAGGTCATGTCTGGGGTAAAGCCCTCGAAAGAAACCCTGTTCTTCCTGATCCAGGCGATTTTGGGTGGAAGCGCAGCAACTTAAGGTGGGCGGTAAGTGAGGACAAATTGCACTACATCAAAATAATTAAGGTTGCATATTATATAAATTAATTGAAGCTTTCGATGCTATTTCAGATAAAATGGATGGACCTGCCTCCAGCGAGCGAAGCTTGCAAGGAAGTGGTAAAATGTCACTGTAAGCGCGGCGTATGTACTTCCTGCAAGTGTACGAAATCGAACTTGCCTTGCACTCCACGTTGCAAGTGTGGTCGATGCGATCGTGAGTAATAGCTATAGTACAGTATTAATTAATTGTATAATTAATTAATTATAATAATAATTATTCTAAAGCTACAATTTTCTTTTCAAACTACATATAAGATTTTACTATACGAAGAATAGGACAAAACAAATATTATAAAATTACAATTTCATTAATTTAATTTAATTAATTAAATTTAATTTATGTATGTTAATAAATTTAACTATACATCTAAAAAGATGAATAAAAACAGTATTTTGAGTGAAGAAAGCCTAGATTCTCGACTTTTTGTGGGAAAAACAATACAGGTTATCTTTGACCTAAAAAAAAGTCACATTCAATACATTTAGAGTAAATATCAATACAACATTTTTTTAGCTAAGTTTGTGCTCAACCAAATCCGTGTTTTAATTTTGTTCTAGCCCTAGTGGTTGCGAGTTGGCTGAGGTATTACCGAATGGATACCACTGCTAAAGCGGCCGTTTTGAAATGGGCACCCTACGCCCCCCCTGGCAGAGAGCCAGAGTGGCTCTAATGTTTAAAATGACTGTTGGGGTATAGGTAAGTCGTATACCAAAATTCATGCTTCTATACAAAAGTGCACGATTATTTAAAAAGTGCTGTTAGGTTTCTACTATGCGCATTTCTATACAGCAAAGTTAAATATTGTATTCTATTTTGGGGTAGATCTAACTTAACTCATAGGATTCTCCTAATTCAAAAGCAAGTAGTGAGATCTATAGTGGGAGTAAAGAAGAGAACATCATGCAAAAATATATTTAGACAACTTGGACTATTAACTGTTCCTGCTATATATATATTCTAGAAATTCTGATGTTTGTAAAAGAAAATCTAAAGGAGTTTTCTGTTCATAACTATAATCACAGTTACAATACACGGCGTGGTAAGGATTTCTGCATTCCTGCGCATAGACTAAGTATGTCAGAAAATAATCCGAGATATATGGGCTCATTACTTTTTAACAAACTCCCAGAACGTTTCAAGTCTGAAACCCGACATAAACAATTTAAGTTTCAGGTAATGCATTTTTTATTGTCCCAGTGTTACTATTCAGTGGAAGAGTATTTGTCAGATTCGTGTACTTAATTACATTTGGTATCGTTAGTAATACAATTATGTAAATAAATAACCGTTTAATGAAAATAATAGAACAAAAACAAATTACATATAAGAACGGGGTTTTAAAACATAATAAATTTCATCAAAAGAATTACAAAAAAAAGGTAAAGTTCCTAAAATACATTCGGCATTGCCTTTTTGAATTTCTATACCTATCCGTTGGTAAATAAACTGGGTTGAGCGGGACTCTCCTGTTTTTTGCCTGAGTCTTTTACCAATTGCCGCTGTTATCATTTTGGCTTCATTTCCCCACGGACCCATGGTTTCTACTGCGAATCCGTTAAAAATAAATGTAGGTTCTAAAGCAGCGTAAGTATTCTTCTTATTTTACACAACGTCATGGTCTAATGCTCTAATAAACATTATTATTATTATGGTCGGTGTTTCTTGTGACAACTCAGGTCTAGCCTGGTTAACTAATCGCACGGATTAAAATCAAGTAACGATTAGTGTCTGTGTCTGTGTCTGGTGAAGTTATGTAGGGTAGGGTAAAAAAAAAAAAGAATAAAAAAAATAAAAAATTAAAAATAAAACACTCACATTGGAAATCTAGGGATAGTATACATAGCTATTAATGGCCACAATAGTCAACGCTATCAGGAAAGAAGAAAACAAAACAAAAATATCATTATAATAATTCCTGTAATTTTATTAAATAGAGTTTATTGTGTAAGTGTTCCTTTGGCTTTGCGTTTGGGTTGAATACGAGTGGGTTGTGATAATGTGGTGTGTTTCTGTGAAGAAGGTGTTTTGTGTTTTTTAACTGTGCTAGGACGTGTAACTTTATTGGGTGGACCTGTCTTTGTAGTGCAAGTTGCGTTACTTGTATTTATTGCGTTTGTTTGTTCAGGAAGTTGTGTTTGTGTGGTTGGTTGAGTTAAGGGTGGAGATATTGCAGTATGTTGTGTGTCATGTTGTGAGTCTAAAGTGCTGTTTAGGCTTTTGCGTTTGGGTTGAATACTAATGGGTTGTGATAATGTGGTTTGCTTCAGAGGTGAATCTCTGATTGCAGTATATGTTGTATCATTTGTTGTACTTGTTTGTTCGGTAAGTTGTATTTGTGTGTTTGTTTGGGTTAGAGGTGGAGATATTATTATTATTATTATTATTATTATTATTTGCTAATCCTCCGGACTAATGTAGTTGACAATTG